GAGAGAGAGAGAGAGAGAGAGAGAGAGAATGAGTCTGGAACACGTGTGCACTCTCTCTCTCTCTCACACACACACACACACAGACACAGGCATGCACCTGTGGGGAGTTACATACATAAGCTGACTATAGAGAGTGCAGGTGGCTGCAGAGCAGCGGAGGCAGCCGTGTTGAGAGACGGCCAGCCGTGCACAGATGGACCAAACCTCCACATTTTCAACACCACATCATTCTGTTTGCAGCAACCGTGGTGTCACTGCTCAGAGTCTGCAGAGATTCCTCAGCTCTCTGTGCCCGTTTCATGGACGTGGTTAACGCTATTTGGAAAGAAAACCAAGAATCCTGTTGTGGTAATGCACGTGATACTTTACAGTTATCAATCTGAAGAACATTAGATATAAATATAAGAGAGGCAGGTTTTTTTTTTCTAAATTTGAATTTTAATACTTTGAGGATTGTAGTTTTTACAGTTTCGGCCGTGGTTCCTCTATAAATGACTTGTACATAAAGTGTTTGATTTGGTGCTAGTTTTTACGGCTGTACCTGGATTTTAAACAGGAAACAGATCTGGACTGCAGGCAGGCCAGTCCAGCACAAAATCACATTTTTACATATTTTTCTTCGGAATTTTAGTTATAGAAGCAACTTTTATGATAAAAAAAAAAAAGTTAAAAAATGTGGCTACGACATCCACCATTTTGTCCAGCAGGGTCAAGAGCTAGGCCTCCAGCCTGACACGAGAAGGTCCCTGGTTGTACACCACTTGGTCCCCGACCCCAGGTTGGGCATCAGGTGTGAACACCAGTGAAATCGTTACACAGAGGACTGCGGTGCGACCGCTCCAGCACTCGATCAGAAGCGTTCCCAGTCTGTGTTGTATTTGTGGACTCCAGTGTTGCAGCTCCATGTGAGGTGAAGGAACAGGGCTGCGCCTGTTTACTAAATGATAAAACAATGGAGAGTAATCCTAATTGCCTGTTTGCGATTAATGCCGAGCTTTGAACGTAAGCCCAAGACGTATGTCACCCTTCCTCCCAAACTGGGGGGTCTATCCAACACATATGCTGGAGGAATGCAATAATTTTCCAAGTGCTCGCTCCAGCCTTTGAGTCATTTCACAGCCACGGCCCTGTCAGGTTTGAAATTGCCGTTGAAAAATCTGAGTTCTGAGAGTCGTTTCTCTTTCATCTGCTTCGCGGTAGAAATACAAGCGATGCTGGAAAAGAGAGGTGCTTAAATTCAAAAACTTCCA